ATATGTTTGAAACGGTGGTAATCTAAAACATATGGATAATAATGATTTCTGACGCTATTATCATTAGCAATATGAATAAAATGTTACTTTTGATGATGATATGGCGAAAATATTTCATTTTAATGGTGATAATGTTTGAAATTTTTTTTTTGTAAAAATATTTTAGAGTTTTGATTTGATTGTTAAAAAAAATTAAAGTTCTTTTTTACCATGCATTTTAAATTTTTAAGAATATAATTTAATTTTTATTAAATTCAATTTTTGATTTTTCTGTAATTTTCTAATTTTTTATTTTTGTTTCATGTTTTTAATTATTGTTAACTTTTTTATTAATTAAATATATAAAAATAGAAAAAACTGACTCATCACCTATTTTATAGGTTAGTAGGTCACAATTTTGTTTTGATGAACAAGTAAGCCAAGTCAAAGGTTTTGTATGATAAAGAAACCAGGTTGAAGGTTTAATATAATTGTTAAATAAATTCAGGATTTACAATTTTAATGAATACCACTCTAAAAGTTTTTTATGCCATTTTTCATATCAATTAGCTTATCTACAAACTAAATATGCAAGAGGTTTTTCTGCTTTTGTATATAAGAACATTTCTATGTTTTTTCATCCATCTCTGTCCACATATTTTTTTGTTCACGTATTTTTCTTACATATTAACAATTTTACATCTACACTTTTTATATCTATATACTTATCTATAATTGTTATATGTATATATATATATATATATATATATATGTGAGAATAGATATTAAAATGTAGAGAAAAAATTACAATTTATTATAAGAATTTTATTGTTTCATATATCTTAAATTTTGATAATAAAAATAAAAACATAAGAAATTTTTTAAAAAAAACTCAGAGAAAAATGAAAACAAATAAGATATGGCTGCTAAAAATATGTTCTAACTAAAAACCAAACCAACTATTATGGCTCATACCTAGACTGAATAAAAGAAATATATTTACCTTTTCTACGTATTTCTGTCCTATATTATACCCAGACTCCGTAAAAATGTGGTTCTAACAGAATGTAAGTTAGAGTATCTCCAATAGCCTCTTACCTAATATTTTAAAGAGTTTTGCATTTTAATAATTTTTCTTATTTTTAAAGAGGTGAATAGTACATCCTCAACTATAGAAGATACTATTCAGTTTCTTTTTTGCCAATAGATTCAGCCCCTTTAAACATCATTTACATTTTATTTTACTTCCTACAATTATATATGTCCACAAATGCATGAATAAATTTTAATATATCATATTTTAGTACTATTATTATATTTTCTTAAAAAGATTTTGACTAAAAATATAATTAATAACTCTTTATATTGTTTATAGTTAGCTTTAACTACATGTTATTATATTTTCTCATTAATATTTAATTTTAATATCTTTTAAATTGTATGTCAAAATAGGTTATGGCTGATCCTACTCTCGCAAATTTTATGCAGGCTGCTGAAGCTTCAGATAAATGGAATAAGTTGGCAAGAATTGAGAAAATTTTCTATAGACAGAAGTCTTGTATCCGTTGGCTCCAGACTGGAGATCAGAACACCGCTTTCTTTCACCGGTCAGTTCAAATTAGAGTTGCACGTAAAATGATCCGTAGGCTGGTAACATAATAAGGAGATGTGCTCACTTCTCCAGGAGACATTAAAAGAGAAGCTGTGGCCCATTTTCAGCATTTCCTACAGGCTCAGGAGCAAACAAAGGATATTTCGATGCAAAATCTATTGACCTACCGTTGTCCTACTGCTGTTTCAGCCATCTTGGTAGCTCATGTTACAGCTCGCGAAATTTATGAAGCTCTATTATCACTGCCTAATGATAAAGTGTCTAGTCCAGATGGGTTCACCAAAGAGTTTTATGTGGCAGCTTGGAAAGTAATAGGAGAGGATTTCATCACATCCGTTCAGTCCTTTTTTTCTTTTTGGGTCCTGCCATCAGGTATCAATGCTATTATCCTCTCCCTTATCCCTAAGACTGAGAATGCGGAGAAGATGAAAGACTTCCGTCCCATTGCATGCTCCAATCTGCTGTATAACGTCATTTCTAAGGTTCTTGCTAATCGGCTAAGTATTATTTTTTCTGATGCCATTGAGCCAAACTAGAACGCGTTCATCACTTGTAGACTACTTCTGGAAAATGTGTTGTTAGTTTCGTATCTAGTAAATGTGTATCACGAGGAATCCATTTCACCGAGGAGTGCAATCAAATTTTTATATCCACTGCATTTTTTCGGTTTTTGTTAATGGCAGCCTAGAGGGATTATTTACTAGTGCAAGGAATATAAGATAGGGGTGCTCTCTCTCTCTCTCCTTACATGTATGTTATTCTTAGTAATGTGATATCTAAGCTTCTTAACAGGGCTGCAGAGGCAGGAGAGTTCCATTACCATCCACAATGTCAAGGATTTAAACTTACGCACTTGAGCTTTGCGGACTACATAGTTGTATTCACAGATGGCACATTGGATTCACTTCAAGGCGTGATAGAAGTCATGAAAGATTTTGCGATAATGTCAGGGTTCCATATCAACGCAACTAAATCAACCATCTCTGCATCAGGACCTGACAAGGAGCCTCTGTGGCAGCAGCTACTAATCAGGGAATCAGCACATGAACCCTCCCGATTCGATACTTGGGTATGCCTTTAACGACTGAGTCTCTCTCACCACATGATTACGAACCCTTGATAGACAAGGTGCGTAGTCAAATGTTATGCTGGTCCAATCGTAACTTATCCTTTGTTGGTAGACTTCAGCTTATCAATTCTGTTATCATTAGCACGATTAACTTCTGGAGCTCCACTTTTATTCTCCTAGCAAAGTGTCTCGACACAATAGGGAGTATGTGTAGTGCGTTACTTTTGGTATGGTTCTCCCACACAAACTCATAAAGCTAAGGTTAGTTGGGTTGATCTTTGTTATCCAAAAACCGAGGGAGGCTTGGGTGTTAGGAGACTGAGAGATTTTCTATGGTCTTTGCCTTAAAGCTTATCTAGCGCCTTTTATAGCACATGTCGCTGTGGGTCTGTTGGATCAAGTATTATTTACTCAGAAATAGTTCTTTTTGGGATGTAAGAAACACACAAAAAAGGTCTTGGATGTAGAGGAAGCTACTCAAGCTAAGAGATCTGGGGTATGGATTCCTTAGGATATAGGTAAAGGATGGGAAATCAACTTATTTTTGGTTTGATAACTGATTGGGTAAGGGGCGGTTAATTGATATTACTGGAGCTGTTGGTACCGCTTATATTGGCGTACCTCGTAGATCCACGGTTAGTGATGCAACAGATCAAAATACTTGGGCTATACGTGGTCAGAGATGTCGTCATTATCATGACCTCTATGATGTCGTCGTTGTGGAACCTGTACCTGATTCTCATCTTGGGAGAGATGTGGTGATGTGGAGACAAGGAGATGATGACTATCAAGATAAGTTCTTAGCCTGTAAGACTTGGGAACACATTCGAGCGAGAAATGATGCTGTAGGATAGAGTAAGGTTGTATGGTTTGCACAAGAGGTTCTTAGATTCTCTTTCATTACATGGCTAGCAGGCAAGATCTCAACATGTGATATGATGCGATCTTGGGGGGATGATACATGGTTGTATGCAGTGCCGGCTTAAAACTATATTGGACCTTGGACAAAAGTTTTTTTTTATGTATTAGACAAAATATTTTAGACCCTTTTTGTAAGAAACAAACATAAATATGGACCCATTTTATCACTAAATTTAATTAATTTTAAGATGGACCTATGGCATATGCCATGTTTGCCACCCCTTAGAGCCGGCACTGGTTGTATGTTATGTGCCGAAAGAGACGAGATAAGAGATCATTTGTAATTTGCGTGTCCTTATTCCTTCACAGTGTGGCATGGCCTGGCGAATCGTATCCTTGGTTTCCATATTGACTCGGACTGGTAGCTGACGTTGAACTATTTGGAGACGCTGAGAGCTGGTACGCTTGATACTATTCTTCTCAAAATGTTCTTCCAAATAACTATCTATCATATCTGGAGAGAACGTAATGCAAGGAGACATCAAACAAACTGGATGACTTGGATGACTGTGGAAACCATACATACCGTAATCCATAAGACAATGCAGAACCGCATATCATCACTTAAGTATGATACATGGCATAGGTATGCACAACTTCTTAAGAGATGGTTCTTACACACCTTGTAAATGGATTTTTTCTTTCTATTATTTTACATCTTTTTATAGCATATGAAGTAGCCACATTGTTCTTTTGTAAATGAAAGTTTCCTAAATGGATGAATAAATTTGAAATTTTATAAAAAAAAAAGAAGAAAAAAAGTCCTAAAGTGTTAGATTGAAGTTTGAACTCGACTCTAGTAGCGTCCTTTTTCTTTACACACACAATTTTACGTTTTTAAACGATATTTTTCGGATTAGTTTGGAGTTATCTCAAAATGCCATAACTTTATTAAAGTGGTTTGTAATCTGTCTCATACCCACATTTTTCAAAGTGGAAAGAGAGACATGAGAAAGAATCATTCACGTGCCAGTGCAGCTTTTTGGCATCGAGTCTGCTTCATGACTAAAGTAGTATCATGAGTTATGAATGTACAACAATAATTTGTTATTTGATTTTCCACCAAGTACAAAATAGCTACTGGACACTCCATATTTTGAAATCTATTGCTAAGTTTTTTTATGTTTTCTGCTATAAAGTATTTATATACAACCGAGTAGCTGATGAATAATTTTACATTTCACATTTACAAATGTTTTTAAATACGTGAAAACTCGCGAAACAAAATATCTTTACCGACAACACACAAATAAGAGGTGAAGTAACAAGACACTGGGTTAGCCTGCATGCTTCGAATAAAACAATGTCCTTTTATAATGAGTAAAAACGTGAATATCAATACTCAACAAGTCTCTTTTTTCAAAAAAGTAAAAAAGACTCAACAAGTCAGTTTTTAATAAAAATGGTTTATTAATCCTTATGTTTTTTAAGTTTTCATAAAAAGAGAACTAAACAGAGGCAATTTAACGATAATACATAATTTCATAGTTGGACTACATAGTGCATAACTGAGCTCGAAAATCTCAAACTAAACCAATCAAACCAGAGAGATAGATATAAGATGGGTGCGATATCACCATTACAACCATAGACTAAGCCGAACAAGAGAGACACATTAGTGGCAGAAGATGACTTTAAGCTCTCTAGGAGAAGAACAGTCATGCATAAGCGAAGGACTATCATGAGCAAAAGTCATTGTCGAAGGACACGCGTGCTTAAAGAATAGAGAGTGAGTCGAAGCACGACACGTCTGAGCACTATTGTAATGATTCCTACAACACAACTCATCCGTACGGAACGCCTCACACCCACTCTTACAAGCCACCACGTGTCCACCATGTCCTGACCGGAGCTGAAGATGAGCGGGGCACGTTCTCAAGAGGTCTTCACGGCAACCAACGACGGGACAAACTCCACGGCCTTCGTGAGGAGTCACAGTCATCGGAACGTTGAAACCGTCGACGAGAGAGACACCGTAGGAGGATAAGTCTTGGTGTCCGCCGTGGTGGAGATCGAACTGAGCGAGAGAAGCCGGCGTTGCGCCACCGAGACCGTTGCACTCGAGACGGTCTCCGCAGCCTCCGGTGACGCAGGAGAATCTGCCGTTGTAGTGGGAGCAGCCGGTTCGACCCCAGATGCGACCGGACCAGTGGGCGGTTGGTGCGGGGAAGGAGCGGTGGGTGTTGGTTGGGAGAGCGAAACCACCTTTCTCTAGGACGGGGTGGCCTGCGTTGGGCTGAATGGCTGGCCAGACGGTGAAGGGACAGTGGTTGACGACGGTGAGAAAGAGACGGCCGGTGTCTGCGGCAGCAGCGGAGGAGATGAGGAGGAGGAGGAAGGATGCGGCGAGAGGAAGAGAAGTTTTAGCCATTGTGTTTTTTTGTTTTTGCTTTTTGGAAGTCGTTGTGATGTGTTTCGTTTATGTATAAATTTTATGGTCTTCACACTGACGAAAGTGCCCTTGAAACTTTTGTGGTGGTTAGACAAAGCTTTTAGCATGTGGGTTTTGAACTGGAGTGAGCGCCGAACCAACCGGTTTCGACCCAAGTCAAAGTATATGTCTCATCCATTTAGTTAATTTATCAATCTAAAATGGGTCGGTTTCGTTTTAAAATGAACCAAGCTAAAAATCCAAATGATATATAATCCAAACTAAGTTCGGTTCAAATGATTTATTTGATTAAACTAACTAAATACTCCAAATTAAAAATCCAAACTACAATAGAACCTCTATAAATTAATAATGCATAAACTAATAATCTCTATAAATTAATAAATTTTTTCGGTCCTGAGTTGAGGCGGTTCAATACATAAATCGATAAAATAATAAAATAATAACCTTTTAGAAATTTCTATGTAAATATATGGTCCCATTAAAATTATAAATTAATAATATATCTATATACATTTCTTATAAGTATAACCTAAACTATATTGTTGATTTTATATTCACAATGAAAATTCATGTATTCTTTCTTAACATTTCAATAAATTTTGATAATATTTAGTGAAATTATATAAAAGCCACATATAAATTATATGAAACATAAAATATAAACTAAGTAATATAAGAAAATAATAAAAAACAGATTTCTAAAATTTTGTGAATATATATACCATAAAATTAAACATAATTTTTTTTAAATAAAATATTTCAAAAGGATAAAAATCTATAAAATAATTTTTTTGTAAATTAATATCTCTATAAATTAATAAAATTTCAAAGTCCCAACATTATTAATTTATAGAGGTTTTACTCTAAGTTCGGTTGATTTTAATTAAAACCATTTTAGATTCAACTAAATCAATCCAAACTGAACCACACCAAATCTAAATTTAAATCAAAACTAGATTATAACCCCCACGCTTGCTTGCAGATACATTTTCGATTTTATAACTATTTATATTTAATTTTTAGGAAAATTTGATAAAAATATATTATTATAATTTGATATTTTATATTATGTAATTTAATATATCTTGTTCGGTATTATTAATATGTAATTAATATATATTCATACTTTTATTCAACTAAAACAACATATATTAATATATAAATTATTTTTAATTTATTTTTATATAAATTAATATAATATATAAGAAATAAAAAATAATTTATCTATTTAACTCGATTTTTTGAATTTCTGATATTTTCTAATGATTGAATTAAATTTTTAATATTTCTAAATGATTAAATATATTTTAATAATTTAAAAAGCTATTTATTTTATTTAATTTACAAACAGAAAAAATAAACTGTAAACTAAAAAATCATATAATTAAGTATTATAAATTTCATACTTTTTATAATTTATTGTTAAACTTAAATTTTATTTTTATAATGTTTATATTCTAACTTTTTAAATTAAAATAATTAGAGAAAAATATTTCTTGTTTTAATTTACAACTTAAAAAATATTATTTCTAATATTTTAAAAATAATTATGAATTTAATCAATTGTTTAAAATTACAAATTAAAAGATTTTATAAGATTTTGTTAAGCAAAATATAAAATATTTAAAATATAAACAGTATAATAATATAATATTCTCATGTGTGATGGTATATTTCATTCAAATGATCTATTATGTATATATAATAAAAATTATGAATAAAATAGTCTAATGACTTTTTATCGTTAGATAAAAATAAGATTCTATTTTGAATTTTTTTTAATAGATTAGATGTTATTTCAAGTATTTAAGATTATGAGCTATAGGGTTTTAATGGAATGATTGGTAATTAGTAGTTATTATTGGTCATAATTTCACAAAAGGAAAAGAAAGTTAACGATTTTTTGGTATTATAACTGATATATTATGACCTTTTCGTAAATTTTTTTCTTGTCTGTAAACTTTTTATCCTTTTTATTTCATATGAGAATGATATTAAAACTAAGAACTAAGAATAATTTTGGGAAATTCAGAAGATTGTCAAATACTCTTTATTTTGATACAGTTCATAGGAAAATTCTTAAAATTAAGGAGTAATATTAAAAAAAAACTATAAGGTTGGACCAGAGTTGAAGATATCATGTTTGCACTTATTACGAGTAAAACCTAGGTATCTGTAGACTGTCTACTATTGTCAATTTCTATGTTCCTGTAGATGTATATAATCTATGAAATATAACCATATATACAGTACAATTACAATTTAGTTTAGAGACATCTAGTGTGTTTTGGTCTACAAGATCATCCGTTAAAAGTCTTTGAAGGAAAAAAATTCACCAAAAGTAATAATATTTCAATATATGTATCCTTTAAAATTTTGTAAGACTTTATTAAAATATTATTAATATTAGTGAGAGATTTTAAATATAAATTCCTTCTTTAAAAATTGGTGAAAACCTTCTGGGAAATCAGTGACAAAACTCAAGTTGGTCCATGCATGTGAAAAAAAAAGAATTTTGAGACTGAGCAGCACAACAAAAAAGTTTCATAACAAAGACACAGGTACCGGAAAGTCTACAATGCTCTGAATGACTTAGAGCATGATTAACACACAAGAATATTTTTTTTTAACTTTTTTCATTTTTTTTTAAAAAAAGTTAAAAAGTATATCAATCACGGACTGCCACATAGCATGAGGCCCGCAAAACAGGACAAGCAGCATAGCTTATACAAGCGTTTTTGGCTGCGATGCTTGTTCTTTTTCCTTCTTTTTGTGATCCCCTTCTCCTAAGAACTCCTCTAAAACCTTGCATTGATGCTGCTCTTACATAGACAAAAACAGAGGAATGATGTAGAGGACAAACATCTTTGGTAACAAGACTAGGGTTCAAATGCAAATTCTCCATTCATAAGACATGGAAGCGCCTAAATGTGAATGGACTATGGGTGCATGGTTCCCTCATGCCACACCTAAATGTGCATTCATTAGCTGGCTTGCGATGCTCAACAAACTCTACAATGGTTCGAATTAGGACTTGGAACCGAGGTGACACTGGCAATTTTCTTTGTCAGCGACTAATGGAAACCCGTAATCATATGTTTTTTGGGTGGTCTTACTCTTTTCAGATAGGAGAGCAACTTAATAAAGAAATTTTATTACATAACTACACCAACCACTGGCCATACATTGTTTCAATCCTCTCTGACAGAAACCAAGACATCAACATACTACTCATTCCATACAATATGGAGGGAATGAAACCAAAGGTAACATGGAGAAGCGTCTACACCTCAGCAAACTCTGGTGAAGATCATAGACAAGAATGTATGAGACTGCTTTAACTTATTAAACCAAGTCCGATAATAAAAGATATGGAAACAATGAAACTCAATTTTGTTTTTAAAGTCTATAGCATTAGAACAATGAAACTTTGATTTACCACATAATTTTTTGATGAATAAATTTAACATTCATTCAGAAAAAATTTAATGAGACTGGGACGGTTCTCTCTCAAATTTAGTTAAAACGACTTGACTTTTAAACTTGAGAACTAGATTTTAACCCGTGCGCCCGTACGGGTGTTTGTTTTAAATTATATAAATCAACATTTTAGTATAATTGGCAGTATGTATTTTGAATATTTACCCGTATTAAAATTTAGGACAATTTATATACAGAACAAATTTGTTGTTTATATACAATAATTCTATTTATTATATCTAACCCACAATTGTGTTAGTCATTTATTTAGATAGACTTGTCTTATTGGATTTGTTTTGGACTAATAATTATATAAAAATATGTATGAAATAACATTTTGAACAACATTTTGCATTATATATATATATATATATATCTATATTACAAAACTGATTGTTAACATGAGGTTTAACATGTTTTTTTGTTAATGTGGAATAATGAGGAATGAACGAAAATATCATAGCTAATATTTTAGTAAACAATAATCTCATTTTACTCAATGTGGAATATATAGCTAATGAAAATATAATAAAACATTTTTTCCAAATTAATCAAATAGGAAAAATATCTGAAGGTAAATTTATTAAATGCAGAATAGACTTCTATATACTATATGGTTTAGTTAATGCAAATATGGAGAAATGTCTATAATTAATGAAGTTGAGGTATTTATTAAATTTCGAATTATTTTGTTATTTTATCATTTTGCATATATTAATTTATGTATTTTAGGTGTTGGGTGATATTTTTAAACATAATATTACTTTTGTATAAAAATTAAGTATGTATTTTTGGAAATGTTTTGAAATGGATAAATATATAGAATATTTGAACATTAATTAGTTTGAAATTAATTTAGGAATGATCTTTTTAATTGAAACATATAATAAAGGCTAAAATAGGAAGTAGTTTTTGAGTGACATTACAATGTAATTAAAATGTTATTTTAGAGGTAAAATCAATTATGTACTTTAGTTTTAATAGATTAGATATTCATTTTCTTTTCATTTCATACTATGGATTATCCTTTAACTTAATGTACATCATATACGGGTTTTGAAAATAACAAAATTTACAGAAAATCAATAATATTTTTATTTTATTTCATATAATCGATTATATATTTTATAATTTAATGTATACCATATGCGATGTGTGAAAATTAAAAAAAAAATTGATAGATCATAAAACTTAGGCACGTGTTGAGCCGCTTTTTTGGAATATCATAGATTTAAGAATATTACGTGGAGATAATGAAGACTATGAGTATCCAAAAATGTTAAAGTGTATTTAGTATATGTAATTCAAATGGTTGATAAATATTCTGTTTAGGAATCTTGTTTTGGTTACGATCTTCTAAATCAAAAATAGTTCGATAACCAAACTAACCATATATAAGTCTAAGAATTATGGTTATACTAACAAATAATATTTATGGTTTGGTTTAAGAGAATTTATTTCATAATATAGTAACATCCCCTATATATTATTTGAGAATCATTTAAAAAGTTGTAACCTTAAGTTTGTAAGAATTAAAAATAACCCCAATCTTACATGGCATAGCTCTTTGGCTTCTATTTTCAAATCCCAAGGATTCTAAAGCATGTGATATAATGTATAGTTTAAAAATAATATTCTCTAGCAATATAATATTCCGTAGGCTATAGTTGGTCGTATATATCAAATATTTATTGTTTCACATGTTTCCTTAAATAAAACCTACGGAATTACCTAATGTGATCAAAATATATATATGACAATTAATGATTTTAAACAATAAAGATTTGATAACAATCTGTATACTTTTTTCATTTTGTTTATTTCTTTATTATTAAAATAAATTACACAATTACATTAATCATATAATAAAAATCTAGATTTTTTTTTGTGTATGTTGTATTTCGAATTTTTCAAATGAGTATAAATTACTAAAACTGTTAAAAGTCCATAAACTTTTAAGATCAAGGTTTTAATTTTTTTTTCTATACTAAAATATAATGATTATAAGACCATATGAAGAAATAATTTTAGTTTATATATATTTAATATCATTTTAATTAAACTATACATCGTATGAAAATACATACTTATATTTTGATATTTGCCTTGAACATATATTGAAAAGTTAATATTTTAATTTTGAAA